AGAAATATCTACCTACAAAGTTAAAGGCAAGAAAACTTCACTAGGAAAAAGAACCTGTAGAAAAAATACCCTCCTCTTTTCTTCCAGAGATTCAAGACTCTAGAAAAGACTGGCACAGTTTTTGGAACTCTTTTCTCACCTTTCTCAAGCTTCCTCCTATCTTTTCAAGCGTGTAAACTTTTTTCTGGGGAATTTTGCCTATCTCAGTTTGACCCTGAATTTTTGGTTACACCGGAATTCTTGAATGGTGATTGGCTCGAATTTAGGACTGGTTAATCTACACGTAACAAGAAATGTAAACAAGACACGTAACTCCCACATGTTCCATCTTGCACAACATTAAATTCGATGATGCAATTGGTTCTATTGGAAAGAGCAAGATGATGAGACATCCGCTTTGCAAAGAAGAAGTTTGAAGCTTTCCCCCCTCTCCTCTTGTATTGGTTTTGTTTCTCCTAAAATATTTTTTCATTGTTAAATATATTATTTTAAAAAATTATCAAAGTTGGTCTGCCTGCGCAATACAAAAGTATTTTTTACCTTTTAATAGTTTAAATATTTATTTTTCTTATTGCTAAAATAATTTATATAAGCAAGTTAGCATTAGACTTATTAACTTAACTGGTTATATAAAAGATGTTATCACTTTCTTCATATATAAATTTTAAACAAGTTTTTTTTAATTTTTTTTTGCTAAACTAATTTACTTATAACTTACAAAGAATTTTTACAATTTTTAAAGTTTTTTACATTATTTTGTCCACTATCTGTATTTTACTAAATATTTCAGATATCAGTATATTACTTGTAAAATTCTATATTGATATTGACTGTCATTTAACAAAATTTTATTAATATATACTATTTTATTTGTTCATTACATCAAACATCTTTTGTTTGCTAAGAAAGCATTGGTCTTTCAGATAAGCAATCACAAGAAATATGTCTCACTTAATTACACTTGAAACAGGTTTTTGTATTTCTTTGTGATATATATGCTAGTGGTGACCTAGAGGTATCAGGCTTTTCTCTTTTTAGCAGAACCAGAAATAAGTTTTTGAAACATTTGATACATTTTTTGTTTTTTTGTTTAAGAATTAATTTTTTTTCAATTGTTAATATATCAAAAATAAAATTTAAAAAATTATTATCATTATATTTATATATATAACTTATAATAAACTTATTGTTAAAATATCAAAGAACTTATTTTGTAAAGTTTTATATAATTCAATTAATTAATCATTGAATTATAACTAAATATATAATTCTGTTTTTTTTTTTGCATCACACTGTAAATAAATAAAAAAATGATATTTATCTACTTAAAAAACAAATAAACAAACAAATAAATAAAGTTATTTTATATTTATTAAATATAAAAAAATATTATTATGAAATTATTATTACAAAAAATTTAAATTTATATATATAATTTAAAATATTATATTAACAATTATTTTAAAAAAATTAAAATCAAATTTAGTTAATAATATTTTTTGAAATGTTTTAAAATAATATTCAAAGATATATATCATATTTACTTAAGAGATCTTCAAATTATTTTAAAAGCAAAGATCTCTGGAATTTTTTTCAAAAAAATTTCCTGGTGTCTATATATATTATTATTATTTAAAAGCATTTCATACCTTTATTTGACAATACTTTGGTTTTGTTTTAAGATATTTGCTTGGAATTAAAATCATAAAATTTCTTTAAATATTTTTATTAGCAAGGAATATAATCCTAAAAAAATATAAACAAAAAAATTTTTTGTTTTAGTTTTTAATGTACATACATGTAAGTCGAATAGTAACTTTCTGGTAATCGAGAATCAATAATTTAGTTTATTATGAATATACTGTAATTAACTTTCTTTGTACTTAATGTTTTCTAAAACCAGTAAAATTATATGGCATCTAGCAAATAGGCTATATATTGTGTGAAGTGAAAGTTGTACATTATTAATCCATTGTACGAATAAGAGTTTACAAATAATAAATTTAAATTTATAATCAAGCTAAACACGTTTGCTATTATTTTACGATTCCATTAGATTAATCTGCCCCAATTCATGATTCACTTGATTACCGGCGAGGATCGGTGGATAAAGCGCGTTGGGTTTAAACGGTTTTAATGGAAGCAACAGATTGTCGCTTGCAATATGAAAAAAGAAAGTTGAAGATACCCTCCATAAAGGTCTGTCTGGTCGAGTTTTCTTTGCATCTTCAATAGCTTTAAGCGTGGATTCTGTCACTACCACCTCATGGTAACCTGCCTTTACTTCACCACCCGTTAGCCACT